TTTATGAGAGGATTAGAAAGCTATGAAAACTAATCAACGAGAGAGATCACAATCAAAGGATCGTAGATCTGAACTCCCGCGGGAGACTGGAGTGTGTGATAGAGTAGGTGCGGTAGCAATCCTACTCACTCCACATCCAAAAACGAACGTGGAAGATTCGTCTAAGCATTTATCTAGTAGCGTGGATCTCTCCACGCCAGCTAAATATCTAGCGCGATGTTCACCATGACCTAGTATGACTAGCGTCATGAGAACCCTGTCTCAATGACTATGTTACGAAAGACTCAGTCATGAGTCGAACTCAAACCCTATCTAGGATCGAGTCGCGAATAAGGCTAAGAGCCGTGTATTGCAGGTGCATCGACGTTGATTGTCTTGTCGATTGGGAGGAGGCAGGTTGTTTTTCATCTTACGTCTGATCCTGTCAGCCTTCTCTTGTTGGTCCTTGTTCAAAGTAGAACGGGGAGGACGCTTCGCAGCAGGCGGCTGGGCTTGAGACTCGGGAGGACGCTTCGCAGCTGGCGGCTGGGCGTTGCGCTGGGGTGGTCGCTGTGGAGGACGATCGCCTTGCTTGATGCAGAATGCGCTTCCACCTCCAGTGAAGATGACATGTAGGATATAATGGCCTTGAAGAGTCTCGAATTTGAGGTCTCCGTTTGCAGCAGATTCCATTGTGGCGTTGATATCTTCGAGGCAAATTGGTATAGAGTTGGGAACGAATCTGTCACCCTGGAGACAGACAAACATGTCAACATCGGTTTGCTTGTCATGGCACCTCTCAATTCCCTTTTTGATGCCGCTGACAATGTTTCCAATTGTCTCATTACTTACTGCTTTCGCATTGCCGGAGGATTTCTTCGAGAAGAAAGCAATCTTCGCTTCCTCGTTGCAAAGGGATGTCATTGTGCTTCCTATTTTATGAGTAAGCAAGTCGCTCAGTTTTCGTGTGCAATAGCGAATACGTGTGCTATGGCGATTGCTTATTCTTTTGGCTGCACTCAAATCTACCCAAAAATCTTCTTTCTTTCTCCGTTGACAGCCTTGTGTTTGAAGCAGGGGAATGTTCTCGAAATCTGTTGAGTGGGGAAAGTGCGGGAAAGGCGTCTATTACGGATCAACCCGCCCTTCCCTTTTCCTAGAAGCTTCCATTCTGTCATTGACAACCCACAGCAAGTGGTATCATTCTGTGCTTCAACTCAGGTGTCATTTCTTCTTTTCGCATTTCTCTTTGCACGATGAGCTTCAGTCAGGGCACCCTGATGCGTCCAAGGGCCGCCTCGTTTGATCAGCCACCCAGTTACAAGACCATTGTTGCCATTCATCCCATTGACGACATGGACAACATGGGAGACACAAGGCACGTTGCCATTGGGTTTGAAACATACGGTGGTACAGTCCATGACTACCGTGGGGCAGTATCCTTCGATCGCTTCCCTGGCACTGCTGCCAGTCGATTCATGATCCAAGGAGTGGCTGTCAAGAGAGACGAAGATGGTACCATCGTCAGTGGTGAAGTGGAGGGCCCAATTGAGATGATGGAACTCCGTCTCACTTCCCACTTTCCGTGGTACATGAAGTTTCAGAAAATCAAAGGAAAGAAATCCACCGGTCGCATGCATCATCCATATCTTGTTCCAACAAACTGAAGAGGAGAAGACGCCCAATGCGATTAGACAGATCGATCTCATCGTTCTTAGGACCGAATATCAAGACAAAGGCAAGTTGTTGCAGTTTGCTGTGGAGCAAGTTGCTGCCCTTATCGACACCAACATTGCTGAGCAACAATTCAAGGAAGAAGAAGCGAGGCAGATAGCGGCCGCTAACAAGCATCTGTTCGGGAGTCCTCCCATTAGCAGCAAGGAGCACGACGATGGCAATGATTGCAGCTTGTAGATGTCGATGACGGCAATGACTGCAGCTTGTAGATGCAACCGGTATGCAACCGGTTTCTCATCCTAATTGACCATACCCAACAATCACCTTATGAATCCTCTATCAGCATTCTACTACTTTTTAGCTTGTAATCCACCTATGTTAGCTTAGATATCTTGCTGTCATCTTGTCTTGTTCAATAGTTGTCTGGTGCTGTGGCATGTCTAGAGTGGCAATCGTCCGTCATTTTATGCGATCCATTGATTTGGCCAAAATTGGGCCTCAACTCAAGGTAACTACCTGTAATCGAAGAAATTGAGCATATTTTAACATGCTCTGTGTGAGATAATCTCCCATTTGAGCCCAATGGGGTATGGTTCAACATCAGCTTAAACCTCTTTTTTTTGATTTCGCCACAAAAGACTGAATTGCGATCCGTGGTCTCATTTATTGACTCCAATAAGCACGGGTGCCTTGTCGGCCGGACAAAACATCCCACATCATGTCTTCTATCTCGAAACAAACCAATACCAGCAAGAGCCACAGCCAGCCGTGCAGTGATGGCTAGAGACCCGCAAGGCATCGATCGCTAAGCTGCAGCCCAGCGCTGGGAGTTGATCCCAAAAGATCGAATGGATCCAACAAAAACTTGAGGATCGTTCTTTTTGTCCGGTTCAAAGCTCTCCTTTCTCCGACTACCAAGCCATGTCTTGCTTCAGCTTCTGTGTTGTTGGCAGCATGTCAGACACAGCTCTTGCACGATGGAAGCTCGCCTTCGTCCGAGGCCGAGGTGGTCGAAGAGTCTGCCCGACGATGGTTTGCGCAACCTTTTCGAGCGTCCAGTCTCACCAACCGACACCACAGACCACACCACAGACACCAAAAATAGCCACAGCAAGACTGACGATGTATCTGAAAGTTTTTCTCAGAAAGATCTCGTGTCAAGCTTGGAAGACACAATTGGGTGCCGTCCAAGGAAATTTGGAACTCCCATGTTGGATTTTATTGTTTCAGGCAATGGCAATCAACCCCCTGGATAGCTTCGAGCACTGTTGATGAAGAAAACTCCACAAAAGTTCGCTGAAAATGATAAGAGGATGCTTCTGTTCATTTTCATGAGCCTTTCTGGGGCTGGAAAGGGAGAAGGCGGCTATTCTCCTGCCGGCCTTCTTTCTATTGCTTGGGGCATGTCAAAACCCACCATTCGCACGGGATGTTTATCAGCATTGGAAGATGATTTTGTCTCTTGGGTTATTGGCCCAGAGGAAGACACCGTCGAACCTAGCAAAAAGCGCCCGGTTCGGCCAGAATTTCCCACCGGACAATCCACACCCATTGCCTTTGACGATGTTGAATTTTCGCCTGCCAGTGCATTTGTGGGACGTGATCCAAAACGTAGAGATGTCAAGGACACTCCATTGGTTGAGGAGGAAGGTTTTGCATCTCCAGAAAGTTTGCTGTCTCCGATTGCAAGGTCTCCGATTGTGGTCGAAGAAGACGAGTTTGAGTCCCCAGCATTGACTGCTCGACAATATGACACACGCCTCGACTTCAACAGAGTGGACACAGTTGATGCAGCAACCCAGACTGTAGACAATGCTCTTTCTGATGACGGTGCGCTTCAAGTGACCAACACGCACGACCGTCTGCTGGCTGAAATCGAGGCTGAAACAATCAGTATCGCGTCCGAGGAAGTACTTTCTCGGGCTGTTGGTGTTCTCTTCAAGAAGAAGCGAGATGCTCTCAATTTTCACGACAATGAAGATGACGATGAGCAAGACGAAGATGCCAACAATTTGAGCAAAGTTATCAGCGTTTCCTTGGGAGCATCAGCTGAGATTATCTCGTCACTGCGACAAAGGAGAGGGAGCCCAATCAAAATCCTAAGAATCAAGGAGACGAGGCAGGGTCCTGGCGATAAGCAAGGCAGAAAGCTCCGAAGAAAGGTCTGCCTTGTCGATGCTTTGATTACCCAGCTGGGGCTTTCGCCCGACGAGACACTGTCGTTGTTGCAAAGTCTTAGAAAGAGACGAGGTCTTCGACTGTTGAGAGAGAGTGATTGTGGACTCAACACTCCTCAATGTGCGGCATTGATGCTGTACTTACCAGTGACGGCCCGTGGACTAGAAAGGTTGCAGCGTTTCATGAAATGGGCACTGCCGGCAATTGAGCCGTCCTTGTTTCCATTCGCGTTGAGGAAGAGTATTGCAAAATACTACATTCAATCTGAAGCTGGGCTTTGAGTTGGTGTCACTTGAAATCGGAGGCAGCACCAGAAATGAGCGTTGCCTCCATGTTTGGATAAAGCAGCCGGCAATTGCCATTCAACAACTTACTCAAAGCGCTCTGGTCTCTGGCAAATGGGAAGATTCGTTGATGCTTTCCAACCACAAAGACGAGATTATTGTGATTCAAGGATCTGATCGAGGAGGAGACATTACGGCCAATCTGGTTCGCTTGGCAAATAGATCCGGAGGAAACAGCTCACAGCATTGTCTTCCTCTTGCATTCTACGAGTTTGGAAAGGAGTCATATTTCAACCTCAAGGAGACCATTTTCAATCCTCACAAACCAACTCGCGATTTTCTCCAAACATTACTCAACAAGGAGTATCACATGATTGCTGTAACAACCCACAACGCTGCCGGTGCTGTTGTTGATGCCCAGTGCTTTATGCTTCGATTTGTTTTCCCTGGCAGCTGTCGCCGTCCGGTTTTGTTGATTGGTTACGATGACGGCACTGCATCTATTAACACGACGAGAGAAGAGAGAGAGTTGCCACCGACAATGCCGCTCCTGAATGCTGAAGAAGAAACGTTGCTGCAAACCCAAGATCACACTCAGTTGATGCTTCAATTGATCATCTCGAGCAACGATAATCAAGATATCGACGAAGATGATCTTGAGGTTGTTGGTTACGAAGGCTTTGTCCTTAGAAACTGCTTCGGTCGAGTCCTCTGCACAGAGCAATTTACAGAGGATATTAAAGCTGCAGAGAGCAACACAATCAGTTTCCGGTGCTTCCAATGCCGTTGCTTCTCATTGGATGACATCAACTCAACTCTCATGGGCCAAGGCACTGCCAGCGTCATGTGCCCATGCACAATCTGTGTTGCTCCCAAGAAAGATTTTGCGTCCTATCTCACCAAACCAAGCAATCAGCAACCAGACAATAGAGAGGGTGATTTGGCCAATCCAGAGCTGTACGAAGACTTCATTGAGGAGGCCAAAGGCAATGCCGACTGGGTGAGAGGCAACTTGTATGGACAGGCAAAGACTCTGAAGCTGAAGTATCACAGTGTCGTGCACAAGCCACTACTCTACACACCTCCAGGCCTGAACACTTGTTCAGGTATGCATGTCTCGAGTGGTCTCCTTACTCACTGCCACACCAAAATGCTCGAATTCCTTGGCGAACTTGACAGGACGACCAATTGGCTGCAGCAAATGAAAACAAAAGTGGCTGAAGCCAAGCAGTTCATGGACATGACGGCCAAAGAAGCAATAGAGAGGCTGCGAAAAGAAGATGCAAAGCTCGTCCGAGATATGAAGACGGCAACGTCCATGAATGCCACCAGAATGGTCGACCAAATGCAACGTGAACGCGAAACGCTTGGTGCCAAGTTGTCTGCACAAACCAAAGCTCGAGACGCCGCGAAGCTCTTTGTTGAGAAAGGAAATGATTTCCTTGCCGGTCTTTCGAAGAAGAAAAAAAGCGGATCATCGGCAGTGCAACATACAGCTTCTGGAAAGCCATCGAGGTTGACGGACGAGTTTCTTTCCGTGTGGAGAATAGCGGATTTGAACTCTCAAACGGTGATGGCATAAGAGTGCTTGAGAGACGAGAGAAGATTGTGGAGCGAATGAGGAGAGTTTACAGTGACAATCCGCAGCTGCAGCAGGGCGTTGACAAATTGCTTCAAACCTATCTGAAGCTCACCACGTTGCTTTGCCAGATGTCCACAATGATGAAGAGCCAACGCAAATGGTCCAGACTCGACTGTGATGAATTTGAGACTGCTGCAAGAGAATATGCCACGATTTGGCTTTCATTTACTGGTGGAATTCGAGAAGGAGATGATGATCTTATGTTCAATAAGCTGCATGTGTTGGTGGCTCATATCCCTCAGTTTGTACGAAAGCATGGCTTCCTTGGCCGCGGTTCAGAGGAAGGCTTCGAGTCTTCTCGCACAAATGCATTGAAAGGTGAGAGATCCGCTCAAGTGTATGACCTCTACAGAGGACCGAGCCCATACAATCTACAGAAGGATTTTGCTTCAGTCAAGACCGGAGATCGAGGCAACGTTTGAGGGCATCAACAACCATTTCTCGAGAGCGAAGAGAGGCTCGTATCAGAAGGATCCAATGAGGTGGAAGACGGCCGACAGCACTCCTGGTGGTAGGAATGTCAACACACTCTCTCTGCCAGAAGGCTTCATTGAGTCTTTGAGCGGATACGTTATCAAAGAGGCTTGGAAGGAATATTTTGAGTTTGCTTGCTTCAGCAAAGTCCCCTCGTCTTGGTCGGCTGTGTTTCAAGACGACCAGAGCTTGGGTGGCGGGTGTCTATTACGAACCGAGCATATCTAAAATAAAGTCTTATTATTTCACCACACCATCTCATTAAAAATATTGCCAAATGACCAGAATACTATGAAAACAATAAGGGATGCATTTGACAGCATTGTTGTCCAGATATACTTGTGAATGAAACCAAAGTTCCGAGGCTGCACCATTTTTTGAGCAAATTCTGGCCGTTGAAGCTCTCCGAGTTCACCAAATAATCCATCCCCTGTGCTGCCAGTCGACAGTGGGTCTCTGTAGTGCTTTTAGTGCAATTGTCTAGTGGAAAAGGAGAGGAAACCATCTCGGAATCGGCCGTAGCAGCCACCATTTTCCCCATTTTGCTTGGGAAAGATGCGAGTTGGTAGATAGCAATAATATTGCGATAAGAGCCTGTGTGCGCCGGCAAGCTATGGATGATGTCACATACCCTTCGAACCGATGTGATCCGGTATCCCTTGTGGACTGGTGACTGAGTCCAGTCCAGTCATCATGTATGTCATCATCGATCTTCGCATCCTAAATCTTGAGTTCAGCTGTTGGCGCAGTTCCAAAGACGAACTTCTATTCGGACAGTTCTGATGTGCTTCTGCACTTCCTGACTACCCTAAGTCTTTCCTTTGTCATTGTGTCATTGTTCGTACTGGTGTGACCGAATGACCCACCTTGATGAAGCACGCTGGCTGGTACTACCAGGCGCCAAGCAAGGTGAAGTCGATCGTGTTTTCCACTGTTTCACTTTGGAAGAAGGTTTCTGGTGGATCAAAGCAAAATACGATGTAAATGTCGCAACAAAACAAAACAAAAGAACCAGAAGTCATTGGAAGGTAGAGAGGCAATTACAAAATAAATAACACTCATGTACATACAGCTCTTTCAAGTCATCTTCATACGCGTACCGTACGATCAGTCATTGTTCTCACCTCAGCTTCAATCACAAGTTCCAGGGAGCCTGAACACACAATCCACCGAAAATGTCTCAAGTTGCACTTACGTCATCCCATCTCATAAAGAAGGATTCCATTCCATTCCATTCGAGTCAACCTTGTCACCACTCACCATGCTGTTTCGTGTTCCTAGTAAGTATAATAATTAATTGAGCTTTTTAAGTAAAAGATCAGGAGAAACCTCTCTCTTAGCTCTTTTTGATGGGAAAGAAATAATGTCTCGTCTTCCTTGCCGCGTGAGAAGATTGTCTTTAGGTTGTGGGTTCGCCTTCTCACACTATATTTATTACTTCGCACTCCATTCTCCAGACTTCTGAGTCATGGTGGTATTAATAGTACTCATTAAAAGAGCCTTACTTAAGTCCTCAAAGCGAAAATGAGCACGCATTTCACCAGGACAGATAGATCAAAAATTGAAAGAAGCTTTCCAGTCATTCTGAACCAGCGAACTGGAATGTTCAAGTTAAAAAATAATGGAAGCCGATTGAGCATTTTTATTATGTTTCAGATCTCAGATCTATCTTTCCAATTTAGGATCTGAGATGAATCATGCCTAGCTAGCTACCGTATCATGCGAGATTAGATTAGTAGAGGTAATAAAATTTAAAATTTAACCTCTATTATTTCTTAAAAAAACGTAGGTGTGTGTTATTTTAGCAAAATGGGTTCCCTGCGAAAAGAAGATGCAAAGCTCGTCCGAGATATGAAGACGGCAACGTCCATGAATGCCACCAGAATGGTCGACCAAATGCAACGTGAACGCGAAACGCTTGGTGCCAAGTTGTCTGCACAAACCAAAGCTCGAGACGCCGCGAAGCTCTTTGTTGAGAAAGGAAATGATTTCCTTGCCGGTCTTTTGAAGAAGAAAAAAAGCGGATCATCGGCAGTGCAACATACAGCTTCTGGAAAGCCATCGAGGTTGACGGACGAGTTTCTTTCCGTGTGGAGAATAGCGGATTTGAACTCTCAAACGGTGATGGCATAAGAGTGCTTGAGAGACGAGAGAAGATTGTGGAGCGAATGAGGAGAGTTTACAGTGACAATCCGCAGCTGCAGCAGGGCGTTGACAAATTGCTTCAAACCTATCTGAAGCTCACCACGTTGCTTTGCCAGATGTCCACAATGATGAAGAGCCAACGCAAATGGTCCAGACTCGACTGTGATGAATTTGAGACTGCTGCAAGAGAATATGCCACGATTTGGCTTTCATTTACTGGTGGAATTCGAGAAGGAGATGATGATCTTATGTTCAATAAGCTGCATGTGTTGGTGGCTCATATCCCTCAGTTTGTACGAAAGCATGGCTTCCTTGGCCGCGGTTCAGAGGAAGGCTTCGAGTCTTCTCGCACAAATGCATTGAAAGGTGAGAGATCCGCTCAAGTGTATGACCTCTACAGAGGACCGAGCCCATACAATCTACAGAAGGATTTTGCTTCAGTCAAGACCGGAGATCGAGGCAACGTTTGAGGGCATCAACAACCATTTCTCGAGAGCGAAGAGAGGCTCGTATCAGAAGGATCCAATGAGGTGGAAGACGGCCGACAGCACTCCTGGTGGTAGGAATGTCAACACACTCTCTCTGCCAGAAGGCTTCATTGAGTCTTTGAGCGGATACGTTATCAAAGAGGCTTGGAAGGAATATTTTGAGTTTGCTTGCTTCAGCAAAGTCCCCTCGTCTTGGTCGGCTGTGTTTCAAGACGACCAGAGCTTGGGTGGCGGGTGTCTATTACGAACCGAGCATATCTAAAATAAAGTCTTATTATTTCACCACACCATCTCATTAAAAATATTGCAAATGACCAGAATACTATGAAAACAATAAGGGATGCATTTGACAGCATTGTTGTCCAGATATACTTGTGAATGAAACCAAAGTTCCGAGGCTGCACCATTTTTTGAGCAAATTCTGGCCGTTGAAGCTCTCCGAGTTCACCAAATAATCCATCCCCTGTGCTGCCAGTTGACAGTGGGTCTCTGTAGTGCTTTTAGTGCAATTGTCTAGTGGAAAAGGAGAGGAAACCATCTCGGAATCGGCCGTAGCAGCCACCATTTTCCCCATTTTGCTTGGGAAAGATGCGAGTTGGTAGATAGCAATAATATTGCGATAAGAGCCTGTGTGCGCCGGCAAGCTATGGATGATGTCACATACCCTTCGAACCGATGTGATCCGGTATCCCTTGTGGACTGGTGACTGAGTCCAGTCCAGTCATCATGTATGTCATCATCGATCTTCGCATCCTAAATCTTGAGTTCAGCTGTTGGCGCAGTTCCAAAGACGAACTTCTATTCGGACAGTTCTGATGTGCTTCTGCACTTCCTGACTACCCTAAGTCTTTCCTTTGTCATTGTGTCATTGTTCGTACTGGTGTGACCGAATGACCCACCTTGATGAAGCACGCTGGCTGGTACTACCAGGCGCCAAGCAAGGTGAAGTCGATCGTGTTTTCCACTGTTTCACTTTGGAAGAAGGTTTCTGGTGGATCAAAGCAAAATACGATGTAAATGTCGCAACAAAAAAACAAAAGAACCAGAGTCATTGGAAGGTAGAGAGGCAATTACAAAATAAATAACACTCATGTACATACAGCTCTTTCAAGTCATCTTCATACGCGTACCGTACGATCAGTCATTGTTCTCACCTCAGCTTCAATCACAAGTTCCAGGGAGCCTGAACACACAATCCACCGAAAATGTCTCAAGTTGCACTTACGTCATCCCATCTCATAAAGAAGGATTCCATTCCATTCCATTCGAGTCAACCTTGTCACCACTCACCATGCTGTTTCGTGTTCCTAGTAAGTATAATAATTAATTGAGCTTTTTAAGTAAAAGATCAGGAGAAACCTCTCTCTTAGCTCTTTTTGATGGGAAAGAAATAATGTCTCGTCTTCCTTGCCGCGTGAGAAGATTGTCTTTAGGTTGTGGGTTCGCCTTCTCACACTATATTTATTACTTCGCACTCCATTCTCCAGACTTCTGAGTCATGGTGGTATTAATAGTACTCATTAAAAGAGCCTTACTTAAGTCCTCAAAGCGAAAATGAGCACGCATTTCACCAGGACAGATAGATCAAAAATTGAAAGAAGCTTTCCAGTCATTCTGAACCAGCGAACTGGAATGTTCAAGTTAAAAAATAATGGAAGCCGATTGAGCATTTTTATTAAGTCCATAATAATATAGTCTGTCCTTCGTAGGATACACATTTGACAGGCTATCGCTGTGTTTCATGTACCAAGTCAAAATTGAGTTTGACACAGAGATTTCGATTTGACAGACCTCTTTTCTGCGAGTACTATACATAAAAACAGTACTCGCAGAACAGAAATAGGCCAAACCGAACTCTGCATGGCAACTTCAGTCTTCCTTGCCGCGTGAGAAGATTGTCTTTAGGTTGTGGGTTCGCCTTCTCACACTATATTTATTACTTCGCACTCCATTCTCCAGACTTCTGAGTCATGGTGGTATTAATAGTACTCATTAAAAGAGCCTTACTTAAGTCCTCAAAGCGAAAATGAGCACGCATTTCACCAGGACAGATAGATCAAAAATTGAAAGAAGCTTTCCAGTCATTCTGAACCAGCGAACTGGAATGTTCAAGTTAAAAAATAATGGAAGCCGATTGAGCATTTTTATTATGTTTCAGATCTCAGATCTATCTTTCCAATTTAGGATCTGAGATGAATCATGCCTAGCTAGCTACCGTATCATGCGAGATTAGATTAGTAGAGGTAATAAAATTTAAAATTTAACCTCTATTATTTCTTAAAAAAACGTAGGTGTGTGTTATTTTAGCAAAATGGGTT